TCTGTAAGAATTATAAGAGTTTTAATTTTATCATGAACTGGGAAATAATTATTCTAAGTCCCTACATCTTTTTGTTTAGAGGTTCCATATTGTTTAAAACATGTTTCTTTATTGAGGAATAATTAGAAATTGGATAGCCTTGATAGCCTTAAAGTAGTAAACTCCGAAGCGCCTCATCTAGAAGTGTAAACATGTTAGCAGTTTGCTCATTGCTTGCTTCGGATATTTGATACGATAATGTGTATTTTTTGTTGTTTACCTATTAGTATGAGCGTACTAATTTTGGTCTTTTTTCCAGGTATGTTTTTATGAACTGGTTGAGAAGAGTTAGGACAAGATGTATTCATTGAAGATCTACCACCAATCTTATGTATGAAGAACCGCGGTTCCTTTCGAAGGAAACCCATGGAGATGTTTATTATGTTTATTTTGGAAGCATGTTATAAGGGCCACCAGTGGTTATATGTCTATGAAATGTGTTTCGGATCTTGTATTTTGTATCAAATGTGTACATTCATAGCTCATGGTATTGTTCTATTCCAAAACTAGTGCTGTATGATAATTTTGCGATATTTGGTTGATGTGCAACATTTATATATGTCTCATGTGTAGGTTCAGCGATATCAAATGTCATGTTTTATGTATAAGAGTTGACGTTGTTACATAGAAAAGGTGCTATATTATATTCGCCTACGTTATGTGTCGCCTGACCAATTATCTACCTCGACGAGAGGTCCTCGCTCAATTTTCCAGCTTTTGACAAAGTATAGCAGCTTATTGATAAAGTATAGCACCTTATGACAAAGTATAGCACCTTATGGCAATAGTATAGCACCTTATCGATAAAGTATAGCACATTATCGATAATTGGTCATATGGTGCTATACATTTTCATATAAGGTGTTATACTTTGTCAATAAAGTGCTATACTTTGTAATATAGTGCTATACTTTGGCCAAAAAGTGCTATACTTTACCATAAGGTGCTATACTTTGCCCAGAAGCTTCAAAATTACGCGAGGACCCCCCATCGCGGTGGATGATTGGTCAATAACACGTGACGTAGGTCGTCGAGTGGTTTCGTCGCGGCGAAAAAAACTGATTTGATTTTAGGCTCTTAAGCTGCAGAATTTCCAGAAAGTAAAAGGTGCTATACTTTTCCAATAAGGTGCTATACTTTGTCAATAAAGTGCTATACTTTGTAATATAGTGCTATAATTTGGCCAAAAGGTGTTATACTTTACCATAAGGTGCTATACTTTGCCCAGAAGCTTCAAAATTGCGCGAGGACCCCCCGTCGCAGTGGATGATTGGTTAATAACACGTGACGTAGGTCGTCGAGTGGTTTCGTCGCGGCGAAAAAAACTGATTTGATTTTAGGCTCTTAAGCTGCAGAATTTCCAGAAAGTATAAGGTGCTATACTTTGCCAATAATGTGCTATACTTTGTTAATAAAGTGCTATACTTTGTAATATAGTACTATACTTTGGCCAAAATGTGCTATACTTTACCATAAGGTGCTATACTTTGCCCAGAAGCTTCAAAATTGCGCGAGGACCCCCCGTCGCGGTGGATGATTGGTCAAAAACACGTGACGTAGGTCGTCGAGTGGTTTCGTCGCGGCGAAAAAAACTGATTTGATTTTAGGCACTTAAGCTGTAGAATTTCCAGAAAGTATAAGGTGCTATACTTTTCTAATAAGGTGCTATATTTTATTAATAAAGTGCTATACTTTATAATATAGTGCTATACTTTGGTCAAAATGTGCTATACTTTCCCATAATGTGCTATACTTTGCCCAGAAGCTTCAAAATTGCGCGAGGACCCCCCGTCGCGGTGGATGATTGGTCAATAACACGTGACGTAGGTCGTCGAGTGGTTTCGTCGCGACGAAAAAAACTGATTTGATTTTAGGCTCTTAAGCTGCAGAATTTCCAGAAAGTAAAAGGTGTTATACTTTTGCAATAAGGTGCTATACTTTATCAATAAAGTGCTATACTTTGTAATATAGTGCTATACTTTGGCCAAAAGGTGTTATACTTTCCCATAAGGTGCTATACTTTGCCCAGAAACTTCAAAATTGCGCGAGGACCCCCCGTCGTGGTGGATGATTGGTCAATAACACGTGACGTAGGTCTTCGAGTGGTTTCGTCACGGCGAAAAAAAAACTGATTTGATTTTAGGCTCTTAAGCTGCAGAATTTTCAGAAAGTATAAGGTGCTATACTTTGCCAATAAGGTGCTATCATTTGTCAATAAAGTGCTATACTTTGTAATATAGTGCTATACTTTGGCCAAAAAGTGCTATACTTTACTATAAGATGCTATACTTTGCCCAGAAGCTTCAAAATTGCGCGAGGACCCCCCGTCGCGGTGGATGATTGGTCAATAACACGTGACGTAGGTCGTCGAGTGGTTTCGTCGCGGCGAAAAAAACTGATTTGATTTTAGGCACTTAAGCTGCAGAATTTCCAGAAAGTATAAGGTGCTATACTTTTCCAATAATGTGCTATACTTTGTTAATAAAGTGCTATACTTTGTAATATAATGCTATACTTTGGTCAAAAGGTGCTATACTTTATTAATAAGGTGCTATACTTTGCCATAAGGTGCTATACTTTGCCCAGAAGCTTCAAAATTGCGCGAGGACCCCCCGTCGCGATGGATGATTGGTCACGCGACACATAACGTAGGTCATCGAGTGTTTGCATAGCCCTAAAAAACTAATTTGGTTTATCGCAACGCAATAAGTTGCTGAATTTTCAGAGACCATAAGGTGCTATACTTTATCGATAAGGTGCTATACTATTGCCATAAGGTGCTATACTTTGTCATAAGGTGCTATACTTTATCAATAAGCTGCTATACTTTCCCATAAAGTGCTATACTTTGTCAAAAGCTGGAAAATTGAGCGAGGACCTCTCGTCGAGGTGGATAATTGGTCAGGCGACACATAACGTAGGTGAATATAATATAGCACCTTTTCTATGTAAGAACGTCAACTCTTATACATAAAACATGACATTTGATATCGTTGAACCTACACATGAGACATATATAAATGTTGCACATCAACCAAATATCGCAAAATTATCATACAACACTAGTTTTGGAATAGAACAATACCATGAGCTATGAATGTACACATTTGATACAAAATACAAGATCCGAAACACATTTCATAGACATATAACCACTGGTGGCCCTTATAACATGCTTCCAAAATATAAATATCTGATACATGATGAATCATATTAATCTGAATACTCATATATCCTCAGTACACATGCATACTTATGTTATAAGTATACAGACTAACATAATATTAAAAAAAGAAGACATCTTCAATACAGATAATGTTCCAAATATCATTTCACTTTCTTCAGTGTTGTTTCCCCTAACTACTTTAGCTGCATCAGCAAGCTTGTCAAGGCTCTTGTGTTGCAACATAATAAACATCTCCATGGGTTTCCTTCGAAAGGAACCGCGGTTCTTCATACATAAGATTGGTGGTAGATCTTCAATGAATACATCATGTTCTAACTCTTCTCAACCAGTTCATAAAAACATACCTGGAAAAAGACCAAAATTAGTACGCTCATACTAATAGGTAAACAACAAAAAATACACATTATCGTATCAAATATCCGAAGCAAGCAATGAGCAAACTGCTAACATGTTTACACTTCTAGATGAGGCGCTTCGGAGTTTACTACTTTAAGGCTATCAAGGCTATCAAGGCTATCCAATTCCTAATTATTCATCAATAAAGAAACATGTTTTAAACAATATGGAACCTCTAAACAAAAAGATGTAGGGACTTAGAATAATTATTTCCCAGTTCATGATAAAATTAAAACTCTTATAATTCTTACAGACTCTCATGAAAAAAATGAACATCCATAATACAATTACTGAAAATATTTGAAGAAAGTTAATCAAATAAACAAATAGCAAACAAAACCCAAATAAATACAAATTACAACAAAGATCTCTAAACATGATTAAAAGAGCAGGATAAAATTAGAAACCGCCATCAATTTCAGTTGCTTTCAGTAACACAAGTCTCATCTCCTACAATGTACATACAAATTACAACAAACCACAGAGATCTCTAAACTCAGAGGAACTCAATAGCTCACAAAAATTAAAAATTGAAATCTTAAATTAGCATTGGAATCAAACCTAAAAACTCCTCTAGGCCTCCAACGAACCCTAATGTTGCCAACTTGAAGCAAAACCCACATAAAAAAAGGGGTTTTCACCTTCGGCGGCCTCCCCCTCCCCTTCTTAACCCCGGCGACCAATGCAGCTGTCGTCATCGGCGACATCACCACCTCATCCGCCTTGTCCTTCATCGGCTTGGGATTTTTGAGGTTTGAGAATCGCCTCTTAGGGTTATGAGAATCGATTATATCTGGGGAAATGAAACGAATGAGAAAGATATCGTTATTGTATTTGGGGATGAAGGGCAATTTAGGGATTTTTATTTTATTAGGAAAATACAGTATAAAGAATGAGTGAATTATACATATTGGGTTTAAAAATAAATGGCATGAGATATTTTGGGTTTATGAATGTTTATATAAGTGGGTGGGTTTTTAAATAAGTGAGGGTAAAATTTTGGGTTAAAAGAGAAAAACCCCTAAAGAAAATAGAGAGTGAAAGACAGGGGGAGGGGGGAACCACCTATTATTAATAAACAAAACAATTAGCCTAAAACCCTCCCTTCTCTGCTCTTCACAATGCTTCTCCTCTCCCTCCTCCTCTCCCTCCTCCTCCACCACCACCTCCCTTACCTCAGCCGATGCGGACCCCCCTCAGGCCATGCTTGCCTCCGGCAAGCAACTTACACGCCAAACGACACGTTCACACCCAACCTCAACAGTCTCCTAACCTCCCTTCTCTCTCTCCAACTCCCACCTTAAACCTCACCTCCGCTCCGCCCCAACATGAGCTACGGCCCTGCTCGCGCGGCGACGTGGCGCCGCCTGACTGCCGCATCCATGCCTGTCCAAAACGCAGCGCAAGACATCCTCTCCCTCTGCCCGCGGTACAAACAAGCCATCATCTGGTATGACTACTGTCAGCTCCGGTACAGCGACCTAAGCTTCTTCTCGGTCGTCGATGAGAACAACTTTTGGATACTGGTCAATACGATGAATGCAACGGACGTCCATTCGTTCGTGAAGATGGAGACTGAGCTGCTGGATAAGGTTACGTATCGTGCGTATAGCTCCTCGATGCTGTTCGCTACTGGGGTACTGGCGTACGACGGGTCTAAGGACAACAAGTTGTATGCTCTGGCGCAGTGTACCAGAGATTTATCGGCGGACGGATGCAACCAGTGTTTGCAGCTGGTACGGGAGCGTTACCAGGGGTATGAGGTGAAGGTTGGGGGGAGAGTTCTTGGAGGGAGTTGTAATTTTAGGTACGAGACTGATGTGTTCTTCAAAGGGGAACCGACTGTTTCGCTTGATTTATCGTCAGGACCGGCGTCTGCTCCGTTTGCTGAGCCACCGCCTTCTGTAAACATTGAAGGTAGTGATGGAGAAGGTGTAACCTAATATTTCCTTAATGGCCTGTTTGGATGGAGGGTAGAGAAGGGAAAGGGAACGGAAATTTTGGTTTACTTTTGTTTAGGAGATCCATTTAGAAGGGTAGAGGACGGGGAATGTGGGAGGAAAATTGAACTAAAATCTTACCCCCCAAATTGGGGATAAAGAAGGGGGTCATCTCCCAAACACACCATAAAACATTGCACTTTTACCAGTTTTGACACGAGGGATTTGGATTCTCTCATCTATATCTGTTAGGGTCCATTTAGTCCCACGCAGTCTGAGTGGGGAATCTGATCCGGGTCACTAGTAGCTAGCTTTCAAGCGCGATGCAAACATCCTGCATCTCTACAGGATGTAATCCCAGCAATGTCAAAATGACAGTTTAGATCTACATCCACAAAAAAGATGTCAAATAAAGACCTTATAATAGAAGAGCTGTTTGTTGATGCACACCTTAGTCAATTATCTGGACTTACTGTGATCAGTTATGTATATCCTACTCTTTTTAACTAATTCTTGGTGTAGGAAGCAAGAGCAGCACTGGCAAAGTCCTCCTAATATTACTCCCTGTGACGCTCGGCCTAGTGATCATCCTCATTTTTGGGATCTTCTTTAGGAAGAGGAGGAAGCGGAAGACGAGACCTGCAAACAATATCCATGGTAAGGAATAAAATACTTTAGTATTTAATAGAGGCTTTCTAGGTAAGCAGAAATTTGATTAACTCAAGTAATTCAGTAATCGACTCACTGAATTTGTTTGAGTTAAAAGGATATTTAGGCTGTGCCATCTAATTTCACAGCAAATTGTATCCTTGCAGGTTTAAACACTTAGTAAGCATCATGCGTTCATTATATCATAGTTGACAAGATTGCTTTCTGTAAAGATAAAAGGAAAATTTTAAAGAGTACGACATCTTGAACTTCGTACTACAGGAACTTGCACCATGGATGTAGGCACAGTTAGCCAATCCACTAGTTGTAGAAATTTGTTGACATTGCATCACCTTTGCCATCACCTCGGTGCACTCGATATTTTTATTCAATCTAATGCTTTGAGACCAATTTGTTGCAGTATCAAGAGCTTTCGAACACCTTCATGAAATCATATTCTGCTGAGAAAAGGATAATTACTTGAAAAAAATCACAACACACAAGAAAAACATAAAACATATACGTTACTGGGTCTATTTCACCTATGTCCATGGAGAGAGCCACAGAAAGATTCCTTTAATACAATAAAGTTTACGTATTATTTGTGCTCCCTAAATTCCTGAGATAAGGCCTTCTGAAGATAACCCTCTGACCCTTAGCTTGATCACTATGAAGAGATCCAAAAGCTCTCTACCCATGAAACATCTCTCTGAATGTCATATGGGGAGTTATGAAGGGGGAGTTATGATACCTTCTCATCATCATCCTTCCCTCTGGTCACTACGAAAGACAACTTATGGAAAATTATTCTCTCCTATGTGAGATTACGACACATCCTTCTTAGGTTCAGTATAATTAGCTGTTTGATCTTTAAGTCTAAATCGATCTTTTACAGTAGTCATCAAATAAGACCTCTAGTAATGCCGATTCGACGAAAGTAGAGACCTGGTTCAGACCGCCTTTCTGCAGTTTAGACCTCTTCAATGAAATTAAGCTGCTTGTTTATTCATATTTCATCAGTCAGTCAAATAACTAAAACAAAGGTCAAGTAACTGAGAAATATTAGTAGGGAGTGTTACTAATAATACTTTTCAGGCACGGCAGCTACATTGGAGGATATTTCAAGTGCTGAATGGTTGTCATTTGATTTGACGATGCTAAAAGCAGCTACTGGTAATTTTGCTGATTCTCTAAAACTTGGACAGGGTGGTTTTGGCACAGTATATAAGGTGCATAATTTCATTTGTGCTAATTTCCTCCAGATTTTGATAAGTGTTCTGACTTATTAAAGAAATTGAGAACATCTGCTATTTTCTTGCATAGGGAACACTACCTAATGGAGAAGATATAGCAGTGAAGAGGCTTTCAGCAGGCTCAAGGCAAGGAATGCAAGAGCTGAAAAATGAACTCATATTGGTAGCCAAACTTCAGCATAAGAATCTTGTTCGTCTATTAGGTGTTTGCCTGGAAGAAGACGAAAAGTTGCTCGTCTATGAATATGTGCTCAACAGAAGCTTGGACAACTTTTTATTCGGTATTTCTCTTACTCTTCAAGAAACATGATTATCCCTAGCGAATTCTATCAAAACAACGAATAGTGATCATAATATTGTAGTATTTAATTTAATTAACTTCTCAGAATGTCTGCACTGCACTAGATCCTGTCAGATGCAAGCAACTAAACTGGGAAAGACGATTTAACATCATTCGTGGAATTGCTCGAGGTTTACTATATCTACATGAAGAGAGTCACCTAAAAGTTATACACCGAGATCTAAAAGCCAGCAACGTGTTGCTAGATGCAGATATGAACCCCAAAATCTCAGACTTTGGTTTGGCTAGGCTTTTTGGGCAAGATGAAACACAGGGCATAACAAGTCGAGTGGTTGGAACATTGTCAGTAAATTCCTCAGACTGCATTATGTTTCTAGTCATAGATAAAAATGTTTGATATGTCATGTAAGAAGCTAATTATATTGGTGTGTTACAGCGGTTATATGGCGCCTGAATATGCACAGCGTGGGCATTTTTCGATGAAGTTGGATGTATACAGCTTTGGGATTCTAGTTCTCGAGATTATGACTGGAAAAAGGAGTAACAGCTTCCAGTATGATTCTGAAATTTCTCCAGACATAGTAAGCTATGTGAGTATGCATAGTAAGCCTTTGTCAGCTACAGTACTACTTAAAATTAGTTTTAGAACAATCTGTATAAATTAATGAGTCAGCTGAGCTAAAATTAAATAAACAATCTCTAGAAAGGTTTCATTGTCTGGGGATGTTTACTGACAAATGTCTATTTGCAAGATTACTATGTCAATATACATGCAAAGGTATTAAACTGCAGTTAGACACGTCAACAGTAGCAGCGGAAAAAGAAAAAGTCTCACTCTCACACACGCTGGTCGGAGGCTCTATTGAGAGAAACAATTGAAATGGCATGAATCAAGAGTAGTCTCATGCTAATAGAGAATTACTTTCTCTGTTGAATTGCATCATTGATTAAATAAACCCAAAGATAAAATAAGGATCAAACTTTGTTACCATATATACGGTTTGTTCTTGCAATGAAGCACATGGAGGGGCCATCTTTCTTATAAAGGGAACAAGCACTGCCACCTAATGAACTCATTCCAAGAGATTCTGAATGGCTATGCAATCACAACAGGCAAGAGCCTCAAGAGAGAGAGTTTATAGCAAAGATAGTATAATGAGAAAACAAATACTGATAGAAGGTTTTACAATATTTGTCAGTAAAGATATTACTATATACATAGAGATAATGCCCATGACAAAGTAGTGTTACCTTTCAGAGATTAAAGAGCAAAATATACCCCAACTTCACTTTCCTCCTTCATACCCCAAGAAAATTTTTTCTTTTTCCCCTTGGATCACACACATGAGCTAAGCACAGGCACTCAACCCAAACAAGGCAGTAGGAGTTGTAACTGCATCCCTTTTTCCAGGAGCTGCGAGTCCTTTCAGTAGGCTCCTGGATCTTGAAGTAACCATGGACCTTGGTTACCTGTGCATCTATCATAAAGCACATTACTTCCATGTTTCCTTGATGTTGTCAATGAATTACTCACAAGTCATAATCAGCGTATGTTTTGATGTATGATTGAATGCTTTGACCCATGTTTTAATGGGGTATTCAGACATAGTAATGCTTGTCTTGACATGTAATGTTAACCCTCATTTCTTTTTTTCTTTTTTTTGTGGGGGTTGGGAACCTCAGTCATAGTAACTAGTTTGAGAATCAATTCAGAATCCAAACAAAAGTCTGGATCCACTCAAGGAAATTAGTTTAACGGATGTTAAGAGTCAGTTTCTTTTGTGTGCGCGTGTGTGTTTGTGTGCACGCACAAGTGTGTTATAGCAATCCTATTCACGCTTAATTCTATTGGTGACTGTAAATTAACATAACACCTCCTTATGCAGACATGGGAGCACAGGAGAAATGGAAGAGAATTAGAGATCCTTGACCCATCTATGGGTGAAATTTCTTCAATAAATGAAGTTTTGAGATGCATTCAAATAGGACTTTTATGTGCTCAAGACATACCTGCTAATAGACCTCCTATGTCATCAGTCTTTCTCATGCTACATGGTCCCTCAACAGCTCTTCAAGAACCATCGCCACCTAGGTTAGTCTCTGTTGGAATGGTTGATTCAACTGCATCATTAAAACTATCAGACTGGAGCTCCAGTGAAGAATCTGCCAGTAAGTGTCCTTAACTACCGGTTTCATATATGAGAATAAAAGTCTCTATAAGTTCTATTATAAATTTAGATGTTTGGACAATGTTAATATTTGAAGATCATGCTTCAGAACCTGCAATAGCAATGCTTCCCCATGCAATTCATTGAAATTATATGGTCGAGACATTCATTTTCTTAGAAGAAAGCTAATGGCAAAAACCAAAATATAAAGTGCTTTCTAAAATATGCAGCCATAGATCTAACAGTATTAGTGTGCTTTTTCTCACTAATAATAATATAAACTTTCTCTTAATAACATGGTTTCACACGAATGAAATCTTTCTAGCTCTACATCAGTTAATGTCATACTTATATTTGAGTTATTTATATAATTATCTTCTTTGATATTAGTTAACCAAATTTTGCGTTAATGTCATACTTATATTTGAGTTATTTATATAATTATCTTCTTTGATATTAGTTAACCAAATTTTGCAGGAAACCTACATAGCACTGATGAGGATATATATAATTATCTTCTTTGATATTAGTTAACCAAATTTTGCAGGAAACCTACATAGCACTGATGAGGATATGCTTCTCATCAACCGAAATGTGCCAGGACCGAAGAAGGCAGCCTGGGACATTAACTTTAACAGGCAAACAACATGAGCTTGTCTGTCCTTATTACCTGAAAGAACAGGTCCAGTTGTTCACAATCACCAGATGCCTTAAATTTCAATATGAGGAACCTCCTTCAATTCTAAAGCTGAAATCTACAATTTTCAACCTCTTGTTAATATTTTGCTGTCAGTTCATTAGAATATTGTACCCTGTAGATACTAATATATGAGTTAAGCTAGAAGACCAAACAAAAATGAGAAGAAATGTACTGCAAAATGTCTGTGATTGTACACAGTCATTCAGTAATTCATTGTTGAAGCATGACATACTTTAATTTCTTGAAGGTTCCATCTTAGGTAGAATGTTATTTCCTAATTACCAAGTGTCAATCTGAAAGCAGTCCATCATCTTTCTTGGTTTCTGGAAACCAGTGGTTTGACAGGTATCAGGAGGCTGTGCAACTGCTAAAGCTATATTGTGTAAACTAACTCAAGAATTACTTATACAGTAGAGCCATAACATCACCAATCATATTAGTATACTGAATTAGCTGAAACCTTTTTCACGACCAAAAAAGAATGAGCTGAAGCCTTTTTCATTTGCTTCAAATGTAAGGAAACTAAGTAAAAGTTTAACAGGATAAATGAACTTGTTCTCACTGTTTGTAATAGTTTATTATTCCAAGGAGAAACACATGACCATATGTTCCACCAAGATGATGATGAAAATGTTGGGCGCAGAGTCACGCCCTCACGCCGCGAAAGCGATATAACCCAAGAGAAAACCCTGGCTTTTGTTTTCACAAAAGCTCAAGCCAACATCTATGTTCCTGTTTCGCGAAGGAAACAAGAACAGAAGTGAAATATCTCAACAAAGTGAGATATACACTTTTTCTCTCATCAGTTATAGGACTGAATTGTCGAGGAAACCTACAAGCAATAGTCAACACTCAGAAAACAGTAAAGACATGATATTTACGTGGTTCGGCAAACTTGCCTACGTCCACAGGGAAAGGGAATGAGAGATTCCACTATGAGGAGAACACCGACGACTTGTACAATCCACAAGCTCGTCTCAAAAAAAAGAAGATTTGATTTTTACCCAAAAAAAATTAACCTCTTGTAAAATCTCTCCAAAGCTCTCTCCTCAAGATCTTTCTTTTCTAGCCGCCAAAGAAACCCTTGTTTTCTTCTCTTAACAGCCGACTAACCTTATTTTTCTCCCACAAAACCCTAGAAGAAAAGCGCCTCGGTATTTATAGCAAAAACACCGACATAAAGGGTGTTTCGTTGTTTCGCTGCACAAAGTCAGGTGGGCCTCTCGGGGTGAGCTCGCTGAACTCAGCGCGAGAACACTTCTCGTGCTTACAGTTCACGTGCTTGTGGCCCCCACGTTCACAATTCTTCACCTCGTACAACATTTGATAAACCTCAAATTTTGGACGAACACCAGAAGAACACCGCTAACATCACCAGAGAGATCTGAAACACTAAACCAGATCAAACCAGGCCAATCCAGTTGCGCCACTTTACCACGGCTGCCTACGTACCCTCCACCGGGATCAAGCTAACCGTAGTTCAGGTTGTTCTCCATATAGTCTCCACATCATCCAATCACCGCCCTAAAGGGACATGCCCTCTTGGGCAGTTCAACACTGACTGATATGAAGCAAGTCTAAGCAATGCTTTAACTTGCTACCTTGAAGGGCCATGCCCTCTTGGGCAGTTTAACATGGGCTGATATGAAGCAAGTCCAAGCAATGCTTAAACTTGCTACATGTGACCACCTTGATTAACATGTCCGCGGGATTTTCATTCGTATGCACCTTCATGAGAGAAATATCGTCTTTCTCTATGACATCCCGCACGAAATGATACCTGACATCGATATACTTGGTACGAGCATGATGACCTTGATTTTTCGCCAAGTGAATCACACTCTGACTGTCGTACCACAAATTCACGTTCTCCTGCTCAATTCCCAAATCGTCTCGAAGACCCCACAACCACAATACTTCATTCACTCCCTTCGTCATGATCATGTACTCGGCATCTGTAGTAGAAAGTATCACTATAGCCTACAACATCGATCGCCAACTAACTGAAGTCTCATGTATCCTGAATACATAACCAGTAGTAGATCATCGTCTATCTAGATCGCCCTCATAATCAGAGTTAACAAACTCATCAATCTGACATGTATCTCCATCAAACACAACCCCATATCAATAGTACCCTTCAAGTACCTTAGGACCCACTTCACTGCTTCCCAATATGTCTTTTTTGGATTCGCCATGAATCTACTGACCACACTGGCCGCCTGTGAAATATCTGGGTGTATACACACCATGATGTACATCAAACTGCTAACTGCACTAGCATAAGGAACACGCTCCATGTGTGCCTTCTTTTCTATTGTAGTGGGAGATTGTTTACATGAAAGCCTGAAGTGTGGAGTCAATGGAGTCACCACCGACTTAGCACTTTGTATCCCGAACCTTGCGATAACCCGCTCTATGTAGACCTTCTGACTCAAGAACAATCATCGATTCGCCCGCTCTCTTCTAATCTCCATACTCAGTATTTTTCTTGCAGCGCCCATGTCCTTCATCTCGAACTCTTTACCAAGTTGAGTTTTTAGTCTATCTATCTCCACTCTGCTCTTAGAAGCAATAAGCATGTCATCCACATACAAAAAAAGATAGATATAATCACCTCCACGAAGCTTCCGAATGTAAACGTAACAATCATAATCGTTTCGAGAAAACCCATGCTTCAGCATGAAGGAGTCAAATCGCTTGTACCACTGTCGAGGAGATTGCTTTAGTCCATAGAGTGACTTCCTCAGGAGTCAAATCGCTTGTACCACTGTCGAGGAGATTGCTTTAGTCCATAGAGTGACTTCCTCAAGCGACACACATGATTCTCCTTGTCCTCAACATTGTAGCCCTCAGGTTGATGCATGTAGATCTTTTCATCCAAGTCTCCGTGCAAGAAGGTTGTCTTTACATCGAGTTGTTCCAGCTCAAGATCACTATGAGCAACAATACTCAATAGTACCCGAATAGAAATGTGTTTTACCACCGGTGAAAATATCTCATTGTAATCCACCCTCTATTTGTGCAAACCCTTTAGCCACTAGCCTCGTCTTGTACCTTGTACCATCGAGCTCTGAATGATCTTCCTTTCTCTTATACACCCACTTACAACCAATAGCTTTTCTTCCTACGGGCAATAGGATCACCTCTCATGTTTGGTTCTTCTGAACATCTTCTCCTCCATCGCAGCCAACCAACTCTCACTATCCTTGTTCGAATAGCTTCCTTGAAGGAGACCGGCTTATCTTCCTCCATCGAGAGTGCGTATTCCATCAAATTAACCTGCCCATAGTGTTTCAGGGGTTGATCAGCCCCCAGCTTCAGTACCTGCTTGTATGCTCGTTTTGGCCTAGTAGAAGCCAAACTATCCTCGAGCTGTTGCAGTTATAGTGCTTGTGTATTTTCCTGCTAAACCTCCTCCTGCTCAAGGTCATCATCTACCTGATTTCCCACTTGAATACATCTAGAACCTGGTTGGTCTTTAGATTCTATCTCAATAACTTGGGACTTCAAAGTCCCAACAGTCCCAACACCATCATCCTTGGGCGCCTTAGCAATCATGGATTTTTCATCAAAGGTAACATCCCTGTTGATCACGAATTTTGAATCTTTTGTATACCAAAGACGATAGCCTTTTACACCATTTGCATATCCCAAGAATATAGCCTCTTGGCCCTCACGTCAAGATTTCCCTAGTTAACGTGATAATAGACGGTACACCTGAAAATCCGGAGCCTCTCATAATCTGCATGCTCCCCTGACCACACCCTATAGGGTGTATCACCACCTAATGTAGAATGTGGAGAATGGTTCACAATATAACAATCTGTAGCCACCGCTTTTGCCCACCATTCCTTGCCTAATCTAACATAAGATTGCATACTCATTGCTTTCTTCCGTAATGTTCGGTTCAGCCTCTCAGCAATCCCATTTTGTTGTGGTGTAGATCTGACTGTCCAGTGTCTAGCAATGCCCTCCTGATCATAGAACTTATTGAAAGCATCATCTGTATATTTTGTACCGTTGTCAGATTATAGTGTCTTTAATTTCTTCCCTATCCTGTTTTCAACCATCGCCTTTCACTTCTTAATTGTCTTGAACACCTCATTCTTATGCTTCAGAAAGTAAATCCAAGCATACCTAGAATAGTCGTCTATGAACGAGACAAAGTACCCGGAACCACCCTTGGAAGTTGTCTAAGCCGGACCCCAAATATCCGTGTGCACATAATCTAATATACATTTGCTCTTAGACTTGCTTTTCAGAAACTGGACCATGTGCGCCTTTTCATACACACAATCCTCGCAAAAATCCATACAAAGTTTCTTCAGATTCTTCAGCAATCCCTCCTTACCAAGCAGATCCAGACCCTTCTCTGACATATGCCCAAGCCGCCTATGTCATAACCGTGTGTGCTCACATGGGTCTCCACCACTTCCTTTAGTTCCAACTGCTGCATCTCCAGTCACCGTCGTACCTGAGAGAGTCTATAAATTACCGTGACGAACACCTTTCATCACTACTAGGGAACCCCGAACAACCTTCTTCACTCTGTTCTCTGTAACAATCCTGCAATCATAGGAGTCTAATGCACTAACTGAGATAAGATTCTTCTGCAAGTCGAGAACGTGCCTCACATCCGTCAAGGTTCGGATCACTCCATCATGCATCTTGATATTGATATCACCTAGCCCCATCATTTTACAAGCATGGTTGTTCCCCATCAATACGGTTTTACCATCAATGCTTCTGTAGGTAGTAAATCACTTTTTATTTGGGCACATATGGTAAGAGAACCTGAATCAAGAATCCATTTTTTGGAGATATCCTCGCCACCCGTGACGACATAGCATTCCTTCTCGCTCCTTTCCTCTGAAACATAGCTCGCTTCTTCCTTACCTTCTCTCCTCTCAATCTTGTTCTTCTTCCCACCTACTCTCTTATTTGGACAGTCGACCTTGAAATACCCAACTTCACCATATTTGAAACATGATCTTCCCGTAAGAGGTCTTGATTTAGATGTAGACTTTCTTCCTTTGTCTTTTCCTCGCTCATTGCCCCTTCCTCTAGCAAACAATCCATGTGTCTGTTCCTTGTTACCACCAGTAGTCATGTCACTGGTTGCAATCTTTCGAAGATCATCCGCTAGAAGCGTCGTTCTAGTTTCATCCATCGTCAAATTATCTCCCACAAACATCAGTGTTTGCACTCGGTTCTCAT